CTACACCTGGACTTCATCCATATGGAATACACAGGAATCAAATTTACTACAATTGTGGAAGACAGACTAGGAAGAAATAGAGATGAACTACTTCTGAATATTTAGTCACTGAAAATCTTATGAATAACAGAGAAACACCGTCAGATATAATGTCAGAAAATGAGCCCCTAAGGTTGGAAGGCACTCAAATTGTGATTAGGGAAGAGCTGCCTCCTCAAGGTAGAGTTGAACATGATGATGAATATGGCGTAAAGCCTGTGGTAGTAAAGCCTCTGAGACCTTCATTTGCTGATGGGGCACAACTCAAAATGAAGAGAAATAGCTATAATATCCATTAATAATTGGAACATGGAATGTACCAAGTATGAATCTAGGAAAATTGAAAATTGTCAAAAATGAAATGGAGCACATAAATATCGATATCTTAGGCATTTGTGAGCTGAAATGGACTGGTATTAGCATTTTGAATCTGACTATCACATGGTTTGTTACCATGACAAGGAGGCAGAAATGGGGAACTATTCAATGTGACAAGGCAACACAAAGAATAAGGATTTCATTAGGCCCTTGAGGCAAATACTGAACTGGAAGTTGTGTCTTTACAGGCTTGACAAAAGAACAGTGGTCACTCACATTCCCCTAACAAGATCATGACTTTCAGGCCACACCTGTACACTGAAGCAATTCTAAATGCAATGAGAGTCGGGAAGGCAGGGACAGGGAGGAAGTAGGAGATGGATGTGCACAGTGTCAGTGAAAGAGACAGCCATGCCACTCCTCAGACTACCTCAGGGTTTCAAGGGAGCTAAAGGCCTCAAAGAAGAACTACTACCAGGGCTGGGCCTAGATCAGTCCCCCTTTCAGGAGCCAAAGCGAATATGAAAAGTATGAAGTATGATTCTAGGAAAATTGGAAGTTGTCAAAAATGAAACGGAATGCATAAACATCAATATTCTAAGCAATAGTCTCTGAGGAGACCATAATAACTTAATAGCAAAATTGCTGTAGTATTTTATTATCGTTACAAAGACAACCAATGATATGTTCATTGAAATACACTCACTGATTCAATACACAGGGTAAAAAGGGATATCTTTGGAAAAGGCACTTCAGGTCAAATGTTAGGAAATAGTACTGCTTGGTTAACACAAAATGAACTACTGCTGATTTAAACTGGCTGAGAACCCTACTTCGCTCACATTTTGGCTATGGACTTCGGGGGGGCTGAGTCTTTAGCCAGCATACAAAGGTTTGCTTGTTCAAATACATGTATTACATTAACATCTCTGTCTGTAGTTTAATTAAGATCACTCGTGTGTTGGGTT